AGACAATGACGAGAGAGTTTTACATTATGAGATTTCATGAGACGCCATCATGATCTATTGGAAACCATGCGTATTATCTTAATTTATTAAACATTAATTTTTCGGTACTTGGTCCACTACTGTACAGTTATTGTTCCCGATTTCGTCGTACTTTAGACAAGATTTTGGTTAATGGAATTGTTTTGCTGGTACGGATTTATATTTATAGCCAATAAAGTTTACAGATCACATCCCTATACGACACTGTGAATATTGTTGACTACTGATTTGTGTCCTTTAGATATGTCTTGATAGAATAGTGCTGACCCTTAAGAACCAAAGACCTAAAAACGAGTAAGCCTGTTGAACTATTTTAACCAAAGAACCACACACGTGAGAATGGTGTTAAATATATATTGTTTTACATGGCGAGAACATCAAGCCTACATGTTAACTTGTAGATAAAGCTAGCCATGAAGGCATTTAGAGGTGTTTTGATAGTAAATAAAGTAGAATGGTAATACTAATAGTAACCTTACACCCCCCAGAACACCCTTACTAACATACTTTATATACCCAATTTCTTAATACCGAATTACATTTAACAGCATCCGTACCGTTCAACAACTGTCTTAGATACCTCACGCAATTAACTGCATTCTGCTAAGAGTCTTTAACCTCTTGTTTGATATCTTATGACAAAATGGGGCTGAAATCTATTGTACACGTCGTCTCAATTACCTGGAAATATCACGGGCATTTTTTAAAAACAGTATTCCTCTTTCAAATATTCACCACATATATTCACATTAAGCGATACAGTGGTAAGCTCAATGGTTTATTTAATCTGCTTCGCAAAAAAAGGCAACGATAGTGAAATAATTCATGTAGTATATAATACAAAGAAACACATAATAAATATTTCATTCCAACTTGCTTGCAGCAACTGTAAATAATTTTTTTAAACAAATCAAATTTTACTATTAAAAGTTATATTATTCTTCTTGATTTGTACTAAGGTAGGCCCTATCTATAAAACTGTGGCATGTTTAAACATTCATAACGATTGGCAAAATACAGGACACGATATTTTACACTGCAGCAGCTAAATCTTTTGTGGTCTGAAGCAAGCACATTGTATTAGTAATCGTATAACATTATATCTCAATATGTTATTAATTTACCTAGAAAAAACACTCACATAAAAACTCGAAATCGTTTGGGAATAGAACAATGTACAATAACAGAGAAAGATATTCTATTATAACTGTTATTATTACTGATAATATGATGTCTGAGATAGTCGAAAGTACCTAGCATTAGTAATTAATATCATATTAATAGTTGCCTATTATAGTCGTCAGGAATTCTACTTATTATTGGTCATCAATGTAACTAAAACAGAAGTCTTCCAGTATAACTGGGCCATAACTTGAGAAAAACACAAGACGTGTCATATGCGGTGCGGTTTCTGGATCTCCGAAAGAGATGTCTATGACAAGACAGACGCAGAAGGACATCATGATTGTGTTCGAGGACAGAATGTATCAATGTATCATATATTTGATAGAGATCAAAGTTGAACTAAACATTGGATAAGTTTGCTGGAACTGTGGGTGTTTCGGATCTCAGAATAATGAGTTATGATCATTCCAACTACAGAAACTCGCAATTGTATCACGACCTTCTGCACAATTGCCTTATAAAGATCATGTAAAGTTATAAGCTTCTTACGAACATTATTGCAAGAATAATTTGTTGCAAGTAAATTAGAACAAACCAGTGTAACACAAAGCTTTCAATTAGTTTTATTCGAAATTTTCGCTATAAGACACATATCAAATACATTTTATTTCATATGTCGATGGAACGTTCTATCATAGATGTCACAAGTATAATTATGTGCATTGACGACGTATAAAATGAAAATTTAAAACTAATATCCGTCTACACATAAAAGTTTAAAGCGTGTGGAATTTATATTAAAAATATGACAAGCAGGTGCAGTCTAAGATAAAACAAAAAGTCGAGATAGAAATGGCGCACTTGTCTTGTCGGTAAAACACTCTGCTAAGAAAGAAGACAAACACCATGTAAGTGAGCAATATTTATTTTAATTGAGACTCCACTCTCTTGAAAATATCCCCAACGTACACGTTTAATGGCTTTATAATTAGACACTATTAGATATTTAAATTATCAAGAAATGCCAAATTTTTAATTGCCATCTTTATGCCAAACTAAACATTTCATTTAGATTTGTTGATGACGAACTAAAAGCAATATACACCTGCACTTACCTTCAATAAATGCCTAATAACTGAGGTAATTGTTATTTGGAACTATATGATGTTTTATATATCTTTCAAAGTTCAACTGTAAAAGTTCAATAATGAATTTCCATGTGTTATTTTAATGGATCATACGTGGCATAGTAAATATGAGAAACACTCACAAACTTTTGTTCTGATGAGTTTTTTGGGAATGATATATGCTTGTCTATTTGCAAAGACATCTTCAATTGTCGACCATGTCCTTCTCGAGAATTCGACCAAAAAGGGATTTGTTACATTGTTCCAACAGTAAGAAGATGGATAAATCATCTGATTCATTCAATGTATTAAGTCCCTAAAGAGAATCTCTTTGGGAAATTAGGCCTTTGTTAAATAAAAAGAAAACACACGGGGAAAGGTAATGGTAAAAAATTGTTGAATAAGATATTTGCTCAGAGGGAAGTGTGACCTCGCCATTAAACAATTATATGAACTCTGCATGGTGTTAAAATGTCGGTATCACCAAGGTTAAATCATTAAAGAGAACTCAAAGAGTTTTTCTCACCGAGAGTGTAAATGATGTCTATGAACACAGTGAGGTTCACGTCAAGCTATCTATTTGTAAATAATGGTAATGTGGTTTTGCTTTCACTGGAGATTCCAGGCAAGATTAGTGGTTATTTAATCCATAATAAATACACGGTAGAAATCTTTATCTGGAGGGTTTCAACTCCTGTTGATGGTAATATGGTATCAAGATGGCGAGGAGTGGAAGAAGTAGAAGGGAAGTTTGTTTTCGTTTGGTTGTATCCTGATGAGAATAGTCCGTAGTCCGTGTTAGCAGAATAAAAGAAAATACCAAAATAAAGTTACTAAAGAGATTAAATATAAGAATCGGATTGACAAATTCAGTTACAGAGCGGTATCTGAGGTTCCGATAGGATGAGAATGTCATACCTTTCTGGTAATTATTGCTTTAGAGATCGATTCAAAAAGGGATTTTTTCACCACTATAGGAGTGTAATTAGTTCAATGTCGTACAGTTCGATGAGATTACAGCAATGTGTGTGACATACACTTATTTATCTCTCGGTCACAATAGACTCAGTCGGTATTACCTCTATGGAAACTCTGGGTTTTGTTACACTCGGTGATACTTTGTCATATCTTATCAATGATGAACTTTATGCTTTTTTGAATGAGAATATATGATCGTAAACTAACAAAAAGAGCAGAAAAGGACGTAAAACTCCATTTTCTCTCTATGTAAATTCGGACTAACCCTTCCAGGTCTATCTGTAGCTGCTTGTAAAAGACGAGATAAAGGGCTAGGTAGTGAAATCTCTGACCTTTGATAAGACTGAGGAGTAAATGTTTATAAAACACGGTAGCTATCGTGTTGATTAGGTCGAGATATTAAAGGTGTTTCTAGTTTGATTGTCGAGTTTATGTGATGAGAGAGATGCCTAATGTTTTAGGTCAAATACCTCTCGTGTATTTCATATTCCGTGTCAGAAGGCCTCTGAAATTGGTTACAGCATATGATTCGAACCTACATGGCCAAAACGCTTTCTCGTCTCCTTTCTGAATTCAATAAGTTTCCAAAAGTTTTTGACTAATTTCTTGGTAGTATTGGTAAGGATTTGAAACATAAGTTTAGATTCAAATACGTCTGTATTATGACTACTGTAAAGGAAAATTAAGAGAGCAATATCCTTCTAAACCATGTGTTTTGCAGTAACGGAAGTCTGATCTTCTGAACTTAATAAAATAAAGGTTATAGTGTAATATTAGACAAGTGTACAATCTTTTCTTACAATTTCTTAAGTTACCTCTTAACTGTCTTAAGATAGTAAATCTTATTGCTATTATCAACAAGTAGTTTCTTGCTGTTCACTCTTAACCTTCGAGCACCTGCATTTACCTTATCTTCATAACTCTTGTCAAAAATATACAGTGCAACAATTTTTAATAAAATCTGTTGAATAACGAATAAAACATAGCTTGCTGTTGATAACTGTCAAAAATGTTTATCAGAGGCTGATTAGAGTCAGCAAATTTGGCATTAACTGTTGCATTTCCTCTGTATTGTATATATTCAGATTAATGATATAACTAAATATCTGCCGAGTGCAGGAGATCTGGGCCTCGTTCCACAAAATTCTACGATCAATTTTGTCGTAAATATGATATAGCCGAATGTAAAATTTCACATTTACGACTAATTCTTATCGTCAGAATTTTTGTGGACCGGAGCCCTGGCGTAATCAACCACTGGGTTATAGACACAGGAGGCAAAAGTACATCAGTGAATCACCGAATTAGAAATTTGACACTTCCAAGAAATCGCCAAATATTGGCTGTAGGAAGCAGACTGCAATTAGTAAGGTGTCTTATTTCTGTCTAGGAATGGAAATGACCACTTGATTGTCATTTAAATAGCCAATGTTGACCAAATGACATTAAGATTTTAATTAGGAAGCAGACAATAGATGTTTATTTATAGCACTAATGAAGAAATAAGTGCTGAAAGAAGCCCATCAAGAGCAAATCGATTAACGTGGATTAGTTTATCTAATGTCCGGTTGTGGCAATATCAACACTGAATCTTTCGGCTTTTATTTCTTCTTTACGATAGTCACAGTGAACGATATATTGTTAAACCCTACTGTGTGCATTCAGCGATGATGATGAATGACGATGATGACGACAACAATCGTGACGATGATGATGCTAACGACCACTAAAATGGGGTTGATGATGACGATGATGATAATGATGAATGATGCCGATGATGATGCGCATGATGCTAATGACGATCTCGATAATGGTGATGATGCTGGCAATAGGTATGATGATGACGATGATGATGATGATAGTGAAGGTCTTGATAATGACAACGACGATAATTGTAATGATGATGACTACGATTATCGTGAAAAAGTTTTTGGTGGTGTTTATAATGATGATTACTGGCACTGGAAATCAGAACTATCATATAAAATCCAAATTATACAAGGTTTTGGTCTCAAAATAATCTACGTCTATGTACAAATTATCCAGAGAAAGTTCACCTTAATAGAAACACTAACAAAATCCAAATATCTACAGCATTCTCCAATTATTCCAAATAATTCAATAATTTTATAATCAGTCAACATTTAGCCTCTTTACTCTGGCAATAATCAGCTCAAACAGCCAGATTCAGAGAAAAAGCAATCTAAGTGAATGAATACCAAATGTTCCCAGTTGAGATAAAAGGGAAAGAAAATCATTAGATGAACTTAAAATAACAAGTTTTTAAAGCTAGCTGTAGTGTTTATATAAAATGTGTGGGGTTATTGTAGACTGGAATAATTTGATTGGGGTAATTAAACACATAGATTTTGCTAATTAGAAGGGCGAAATGTGGTTTAAACCTGCCTCCAACTCGGCTGCTATTACAAATTTCGCTTGAATTTTGTTGAAATGGGCCAAGATACAAGACGATATTATTATATTGAGGCGGGAAACGAATCCAGCCGGGCTGATAGTTACAATATGTTGTCAAATATAATTATATTTTCTACATAGCTTTAGAGAATCAGATCCGATATAAGATCCTATACTTACTTCTGAAGACACAGAATCAACACATTATAGTCAAATAATTCCACGTCTATGTAAGCAGAAAAACAGGAAATCGGTTATTCTCAACAAATAGTACAGCTGCGTATAAGCTGAAAATACAATATGATCAGAAAGTGATTGTGGCAGCTTTTACATTACAATGTTCAAACTTAACATACATGTACTGGTCATACATCATGCATTGAGCAATGATGTTGTACAAACCGGGGTGTTGGTTTGTAGCCCAATCCGCACGACTGTACGTTTTTATGTCAGACTCTCTGACCTGCTTCACTTACATAGGGACATTATTAACCCCTGTAATGTCTGTAAAAACCACTACTTATCCTAATATGACACTCGTATAAACTGATCAAACAGTTACCAAGAGAATTATATCCCTTACATTTATAACCGAGGTTCTCAACTTTTTTCAAGTAGCAACCCCATTCCAGAAACCGGCATCAGAGAGCGACCGTTCGAGGGTTTTTGAAAGCTAGAAACCCGGAAGAGCATTTTTGACGATTTTGAGGTGTCAAAATATCCATCAAAACGCATTTGATATGCAATTTCAAATTATTATTATTGCAAAGGGTGTAGCGAGTTTTTCAAGAATAATAAGCCCATAAACGCCAATTCAGGCGATCTGAGACAAGGGAGGGATGTCCTCACCCAAGAGTTCATGTGTCCTTTCTCGTCTCACAGCAGAAGATATGATAAAAGATTTCAATACATTGGTGTATCTGGTTGAAGCCATCTTCAGACATAATGATATAGAATAAATTATTATCACAGTTACCTTTTAGAAATCTTCTTTGTTTCTCAGCCAGATTAGTTGATAAAAATTAAGGATAGAAATGTTTTTTCTTGTATGATGTAAATATCACATAATATACAAACTAGAAACAGGGGCTTTAATTGGAACATAAAAGAAATAATGCGACATACATACATAAATGTTTTATTGTGTCAAGCACAGTACCATGTAGCAAGTGCAAAAGAACCGGAGCACTGTATTGGGGAGGGGGGAGGGGGGTTGGGGCAACAGTGCCCTCACGTTGTCATTCTGTTTATTAACCTTGCAAGATGATTAGTATCACCCTCCAGTCCACCCCAAGTTCTTCATCTGAAGAGAGAATATTTGTACTCTCCTAATAATTTACGTAACCGTGATATATTCATATATACCTTGTCTGGGGTTTAGATCGACTGACATTTGTCAGATTGGTTGAATATTTAGACAATTCATGGAACAATGATGATTGTCTATAATAAGAATTGCTGTGTATACATGTAATTTGATTATGTATAATGGTAGTGTATATCATCGCAGGGTATCTGATTATGTTGTTATCTTATATAATATATCATTCATTAAGTCTATAAGACTGTATATAGATAAACTCTCAAATCTCCCATCTGATTACTATATTCTATATAGAAATGCTATCGATGGCCTTTTTATTAATTTCTAGATTTATCTTATACACTGATACCAATTTTCTTTCTCAGCAATTATTCTTTACCTAAGTCTATTACTATCAATGTCTTCTAAGTCAGTTTTTACCCATAGACTATGGGTAAATGTATCAATGTATTTCTTGTCAGATTTTTCGTTACTCACAGACATTGCTATCAATGTCTGTCATGCCCGTTATTTCTTTAAAATCCACAGACATTGCTATCAATGTCTTCCATGCCAATTGTTTCTTTAAAAAGGAAAAACATTGCTATCGATGCCTTTCATGGCAGTTATTCTTTTTCCAAATTGCTATCATTTTGCTGTCTTTAATGCCATATTATATACATTAAGATCGAAGTCTTCCATTCCATTTATTATACCCATAGACGTTGCTATCAAAGTCTTCAATGATTTCTCTGTTCACCAACATTGCTATCAATGTTATTTTCTTTTCTAGAATGTTTACTGATAGACATTGCCATCAATATCCTCTGTTTGTCTTAGCGGATTTCTCTTCTTTTTAGGTGTTACTAGCATGTGCAAATTATTGATGATTCACTGCTTTATGTGCATTGCTATTGGTTGGTTCACTAAATGCACAGTCTTTCTATCTGTAATTTCGTTAAGGCTTTTACATCAGTGCTTTTTGAATAATTAATCAGGTATTTCGTGTCTGGTAACTTTTTTTTTATTTTGGTCAATATATTTATTAAAGCGAACATTTCCTCTTTTCTTGACGGCTTTTATTTCATTACTTTGACCTCTTCTGATATGTATTCCACTTAATCTGTTTTGTGAGAGATTAAAAGTTAATGATTCAGATATATGCTTGATTTAATTGAATTTCTATCGGTTTGAACTGAGCGTGTAATTGTGTGTTTGTAATAATATTCGTATTTGTGTCGCCGTATTGTATTTGATCAATCTTGCCTAAAAGATAAAAATCATGTGTGGATCTAGATACCCTTAGCAGTTCTCAGAATAAGGATCTGAGCTAGTTTTAAGCTAAGAGGTAGTGTTTCAAGGGAACACGGAAAGCTATAGTCCTAATTTTTGAAAGTTCTTTCTCTCATTTTGAGGAACAGATTACCGATATTGTGGGAATTTTGCATCGACTTCAGTAATTCAGCATCGAATCCCGAAGACGGCTTTTGACATTGTCCTCGAGAAAGTGTGACAATTGAGAGTGGTTTGGACACGATGTTTTAGACGGTAAAGCTAAGAATTAGACAACTATATACCTTCAAAACATGCAGATACGATCAAAAATGATAAAAGAAAATGATAGTTTTGGTTCAATGGCGAAGTGTGTTTTAGTTCTATTGTCCACGTCAATGCTAATCCAATTAATGGGTCATAAAATAGCCTTTAAGATCAATCGATTCTTAAAGTTCTAATGGATGCTACAGACCACTTTCATACCCATTGACCCTATTATTCATTAATCTACTTTCATTAATTGATAATCGAGATTAACGATTTGTTCTGATGTTTCTGTCATCCAGGCGTTAAGATAAATTACAGTCTCGGGCTATTATATTCTCTAGGATTGTGATTGGCTAATTAGGCATGAATGAGTGGAGTACGTCACAGCACGTGTTGGTTTCTGAAGTTCCGGAACGTAAAAATTTATAGGATATATCTGGAGGGATTTGTCTTACTGACATCAGATTTGGACCTAGTTATTTCGAATACAATGACCCTAACGACTCTTAATATAGCATATATTTTCCAGTGCGTCACTTCTCAAAGGTGGACGGACGATGTGTAGTGATAGACCTACACAAGTTAACGACAAGCCAACTCGTAATCTGTCTCTTCGCTGAGTTTCATGTAGGATCCGTTCCCTACGGCATGTAATCATTTTATTGAACATTAGTGCTTGTGACGTGAATCCGGGATATTTAATGTCTGGCGAAACGACCAATACCTCAATTGAACAAGAGACCCTAATTACTCGCGATCAAGAGAACTACCACGTGCCTCTCTCGGAGGCAAGCTCGTTCTCCTGAAACATGATTTGTCCTCTCGGCATTCCTTGCAGACAATCCCAGACGCTAACAGCATGGATTGCTTAAAATAAATCACGAAACTATAAGGAAGAATGTATGTCAATAGGCCAAGAAAGTTTCTCGATTGAAGTAATTATTACACTATTAAATAACAGAGGTTAATGGAATAGACAAACAGTGGTAATTTAGATTTTAATTTAAGAAAAATACACCGCCTTGTCTATCTGTCGATTGTTTCCTGTTGTCACCGGAAGTGTCATACTTTAATAAATGATTCCTTTATTTTGAAAAGTGAATAAATTGGTTAGTTATTACCCGCATGTTTAGATAATACATAGTTCATATTGTTATTGATCGAGGAAATACTCCTCGTGGCTGATTTTCAAAGATCGAATAACATTTGACGTAATTGAGAAAGAAAATTGCTGTAAAATTACAGTGCATGTAGATATATTTTAATTCACAATACTCTCTGTATATAACTGTATTGTGATGATGATTCCAGTGTCTTGCGCTTGAAATAGCGACAAAAATACATTTACATAGACTCCCGAATGCGACAAACCACTACAGGCGCAATGTGTGTCCAGGCCCAAGGGAGGAGATAGTGTAAATTTTTCAGGATGGGGTTCAACTATTTTAAACTACCGGTCAACTAAGGTATACACCACCACACCCTTCCCTACAGATAAGTGAAATCAGGGTTCAATGTTTCTAAGTTAGAAATGATAACAATAAAGAAGTTTCCGTGCTGGCAATTTTAACACCATTTTAACCCCAGTTCGTCCATGCTGTGGTGCAGGTCAGTGGTTCAGTGGAAGAATATCCTCTTAACTTGATATATCCAGACGATATCGACCAGTCTAGTCTTGGATTGCATGTTGATAAATACGTGCTAATAGCGGAAATAACGAGTTAGTAGTCCGTGCCACAAGGTAAAAATAATAAAATGGTGTAGGGAAATAGGACGATCTGTTTCCTATTTGCAAGTCATTACAAAGAAAACAGATGTTAATATTTTTTTCATCGCCATTTAATCGAAATCCTTGATGTAATGCCGAAGAGGA